TGATTGATGCTAAGGGCATACAAAACTGTCTAACAGTGACACCTTAAGTCGTCACGTTGTCCACTAATGGTGGCATGTGGTCCATGAATTGGTAACCCCCTACGACTGCTCATTCTCCTCTTCTACTCTATCACGTGCAACAGGTTTCTTCACCATTCCCCGGGGTGCCACATGTGCTCCATCCCACAACCTCACCATCGTCTCCTACCTCCATTCGTCTTCCCCAAAGAGACGCCTCAACTTCCGATGCGAGCCAAACCCTGTACCAGGCACCATCTGAGAGTATGTCAAACGAATGAGGCAGGTTCTCCGACTTAATCCTTACGACTTTGATCTCCACAGCACGCAAGCTTCTCAGGTTTAGCTCCAATAGAAACACCCCCTAGGGCTCTGACAATTTTTCCTAAGGTCAGTTCGTTCCAGAGATTAAAGGGAAGCCCTATTAGTTTGATCAGGAGGATGCCGTACTTTTGCTCTACTTCATTGCAAATAGGAACCCAGTTTTGAATTTGTATTAGTCCTCCATCTACTTGGACTGTATTGAAACTCAGTTTCTCGTCGCCCGTATCAAGGATGGCTTTCTTCTCAGCAAACGGCAATAAGACAACATCGCCTTCTTAAGACCAGTCTTTCTGCAACTGTGTCTAAGACTTTCGTCCAATCCCTTACAATCCTATCTGTCGTTAATACCATTCTATGTTCCCATTTGCCTCTCCCTTCTTCAAGTGCTATCTTCCAATGTCCAGTTGAACTTGCTACCATGATTTCTTAACTAGATAGGCATTGCTTCTTTCTAGTCTCCGGAGTACCATGGTTCATTGGAACATTTTCACGCAGCTTGTTATCAGTTTCTTCTGCAACCTTCCTCTCGATTTCCAAGAGAAACGCTTGAAGATTATTGGTGAAGGAAACATAGCCTTGTCCTCTCTGTCTTTCCGGTATGCAAATCATTTGTTTTTTGTTAGTGCCAAAGTGTTATGTTACCATGATAAACCATCCTCTCCCATTCCTTCTCAGTACTGTTTCATAGCTCTTCCCACAACAGACCATTGAGTTTTTCCAGCCTTCTTCCCTGATAGTGTTTACTGTTCCATCAACAAAGCCTTTCAACCAGTAACATGCTTCCTCTGTATGAGTATCGTTGCCTTACTACCTTCTCTGATTTTCAAATATGCCTTACCTCTTGTACATCCCTGCTCGAATAAGAAATATTTAGCTTCGATAACCATCTCCAACCTCCACTTCCCTGTCGGCCTGAAATTTCTCTCCTCTCGTTCCATCTAATCCATCTTTTATTAATGTCTAGCTTTTGAAAAGATCTTTCAAAAAAATTGCAACCAAATGGTCTTTGGTCTTTGAAGACCTACCTATGAAAGCTCATTAATCTTTTGAGGTCTTGAAACAAGAATATTGAAATCATTTTGGGAATTCTCTCCTGGTGTGAAATAAATCTGTTACTACATTCAACTACATGTTAATTCCTGCTTGTGTTCCATCACCTATGATACCCAAATACTTGGACAAGGGTATTCAGCTATTTAAATTATATCCAACACTTGCATCCATCTATGTACTTGCCATATCTGGGTAACAAAGTCCACTAGTAATATCAAATCTAACAATAACCTTCACTTAATTTTCAACTACTTTATAGTAATACTTATCATTAAAAACCAAGTCCAAGATTATTCAAATTCAATTTCTTTGCTTACATTCCATTAACCAATTGCTCCGTCATTCAACATCTACCCAATCCTATTGGACAATTATGATGTAAAATTGCATCCATGTAGATTCATCTTCTATCACCATCTCCACCTAAATCTGTGCCCATCTTAGCGTATATATCTCTCTCGAAGTGTTATTTTGCATGTGATATTAACTCCTAATGCTGTGTTTGGTTGCAGTATTGTACTAGTTCAAATGCATGGGAGTGCAAATGAAAAGAATGCAAATTCTGGTTTAATTTTGTTTTGGATTTTCCTTTATTCTGTTTCCGGTCTTATTTTATTTCATTTGTAATGCAATCAAATAAAATAAGGAAAAAATTGAAACAAAAATAAATCAAAATTTGCACCCAAATCATTTGCACTACCATAGTTTTGCATCAGTGCAAATTTATTTGCACTGCAACCAAACACAGCCTAAATAACTGTTATATATAGCTGGCTCACTTCCAATTTCCAACAGTGCAATAGAAAACGTCTAAACAAATATAAAATGGCATTGCATTCATTATTACCATAATGCCATAATATAATATTGGTCACTCAACCATAAATAAATTCAACAGAACACCAAGTAAATCTGTAAGATGATTGACTAAAGATACCTTAGCCATGGCTCTGTAGGAATATTCTGTAACCCCAGCAACATGAGGTGTAATTAGGACATTCTGGAACTTCAAAATTGGATCATCAGGATCAAACGGCTCAGTCCAAGCAACATCAATGCCTAAGCCACCCAAGCGTCCTGATTCTAGGTGATCAGCAACAGCTTCATAATCTAGAAGTCCTCCTCGAGCAATATTTAACAAAAGAGCCCCCTTGAAAACGATAGAAAAAATATGGCAAGAGATGCATTAAGGTTTGATGACAATATCTACTGGGCATCTTTACTATTGACACTAAACAAAATCTCTTAATGAGAAACAGTAGAATTTTTGAAGATAAATGTTGCTCATTAACAAATTATTGAATGTATTAAAAACTTGAAGAGAACCTTTGCATGATCTGGATCTCATGTGTGGAGTGACAGTTACATTGCTAAATAGATTAAATAATCTATTTCAAATTTTTGGTCATTTCTTAACTATAGACTTGGAGCATTTTAATTCCAATATGTTGTTTTTTTTATGAATAACGGTGTAATTATATTATGTGCCTTAAAAAGAAGTCCCATACATGCCAGCTTTGACAGTAGGGGAAGTACAAAGAAACAGCATAAGCTGAACATAAACAGATACATGAAAATAAACAATTTCAAGCTACAATTGTGCCCCAGGCCCTGGTATTCCCCGAATACATCCTGGCCACCACTGTTAGACAGTTGTATGCCCTTAGTTTCAATCAGAAATATGTACATTATGAATTTATTGTAAATGAATAAAAGTGCATATTTGATTCATGTTCCTGTGGTGTATTTCTGTGAAAAAACCTTAAACTGGACATTTAATGAGACTTGTGTTAGTTTAGAATGTTCACAGCCATTGGGCAAGTCTAGGGAGATTTATCGTGCCAAGGCTGACACTGGTGTGCTGCCAACTGTTGGGGTGGCTTGTCTCAGCTACCAGGGTGAGACCCGAAGCACATGCAATGTAGGATTAAT